TAATTTAGTGTATAGAGAAGGCAGAAGAGAACACATTGGATATCAGGGAATTTTCGTTTGTAATTTGTTATTACTAGTGCTCATCATGTGTGATTAGATATATCCACTTGTGCTTCTCCCGCAAGCGCTTCATTTTAAGTTTAAGCCCAATCTCTGCGAGAGTCAAACGCTTGAAAACCGCTGTACGATAGAGCAGGACACTAGAATTTGATCTTCAATCGACTATTTTGTAATAAGCTGAGTATCGTGCAATTGTGTATATGCACCTTTTTGAATCTATCATCGCAATAGTATAAATCTTTAGATAGAAGATACTTATAAAGAACAACATATTGGATGTTGAGTTTGATAAAACTATTAGATTTGCACCGCGTGAACATTGTGATGTTGTTTTGTCGTCGACGTACTAATTAATTACAAACTTGTGCAACATTTAGAGGAGAATGATGTATGTGAAAAGCAACACTAAAAGTGGAATGGTTCGAATTTGAACAGCAGTAAACAGACAAATTTTCAATATCTCTGTCGCGTTTCAACAATTTTGGCACAAGGCGGTCATGTTGTTCTTAATAGTTTATAATTAAATACCAAAGTGCATGTCTTTAGCAGCAAAGTTGCTTTTCTTTATAACGGTTGCGACGATCATGGTTATTTACATGTTTCGTGTGAGTAGTAAAGTCCACAACTCCGACGGCTTTTCCATCAATGATTAAATACGTGTTAGCAGATTTCCATGTGACATGATTATCGCTTCTCCATGTTCACCCGTTTTCAAATCGCCATGAGCACGACACTATCGGGTGTAATACTCTGCATTAGTCGAAGTTTGTCTTCTGTCTTGTTTCAACAAAATCGTACGCATACCTTGATACTTATCAAAGATTTAGCTCCGTGCACATTCGATAAGATTGTTTTAGTCATACTATACTGTACAACGACACAAATTTACATTGCAGTTCGGTGTCGAGGTGTCAGTGTCAGTATTGATGAAGAGTCAAGAAGAAGCGGTCCGTGGTACATGTGGGTTGCCAGCTGTACGTCAAAAAATAGTGAAAGTTTGATTGTAAAAGTATAATAGCCTAAGCAGCATCAATTCTGAGTTTACTAGACCTAGAGGACACGAGTCCAAGCTTTGTGTTTGGAAATGCGACTATTTGTATCAGAAATTTTGCCGTACAAAGAGCACGAAAACCACGCTAGACTTGGTAGCACTTGTGGTCAATCCCACGATGTAGTTGTGAAATGGCTGTACTCTCTACGAGTATAGAGCGTATGTTGCTTGAGTATCTGTCAGTTGTACAATGAGATCGGCTTGATAAACTTAAGTCTGTAAGTTATCTCGATGGGATCACGCCGAAGGACCGGAGGTAGAAACCGCTTTCCTGAGATTGCCTCCGCGATCTAAGAATGCGCTGATGAGGTAAATCGGGCGCAGGTGGAAGACCCGTTAAAAGTTACCGTGAGGAATGTTGCTTCTCTGTATAATCAAAGTAGGGAATGCTACAAATTTACCCTTCTTTAAATGGATTGACATATCGCCGCGCTTAAGATCCCACTAAAAAGGCCCACCCGAGAATAGGCACTCACGTGCCAGACGTTAATCAATCTCGAAGCCGCAAAGGTGCAAGACCTTTACCTAGAGACGGGTATGGTCATCAACTTCATGGAAGGTCTTCAATGATATATGGCTTGTACCAAGGCCTTCCACATCCAGCGTGCCATATTCATGAAAAAAATGCATAGGCTGTGGGATTATAATTTTGTGCTCTGAAGGACAGGATGGGATACTGGAAGTATAAGCATTACCAGCGCACCGTAGGTGATGGACCAATGTCAAAATGAGAATAGAGACCTTACACTGCTGGCTGGCTTTGCTGTACTTGCACAAATTGTGTTTGAACAGAACGTCTAGAATTCACGAGCAGCCCAGATGGTATTCATGGAGGATTCGAGCTTATCATCCGCCAGGAATATGTTTGAGAAGGTCGTGGTGTAGGGAGTCTGACAGTTGTCCTCGATGATTCAATTGATCCACTATATCATTTGTCGGTAGGATTCGGCAACGTGGTGCCAGGAGACCCACCGCGCTTGCTACCTGCTGATAAATGAGTGCTTTATAAAGTTGACTTAGTTCCCAAATACACTATTGCAAAATATGACCGTGATATATACCAAGAGAACATTGGGCGTCAATCTTGATGTTATACGAAGTTCAAAGCAGAGTTTTTGAGCGTAATGTAATCTCTTCACCCGACGCCGATGTTGGTACTAGAATTACAAATGGCAGGTGCAGAATTGCGCGTACTCATAAAAAGCTTGAATGCAATCATAAATTTTGCGCCACGTTTCTTAAGGAAGTTCAGCAGAGCAGCATATATGCTTCGTGACTGGATGTATATCATCAGCTTCTGATGTGAGATGGCGTCTAGTCTTCTCACTATGACGAGAACTCCAAGCGAAATGATCAGGGAGTGAATGATTTGCCGCATGATTATCGAATGTACCAGCAACGTTTAATTTTTCAATTGCATAACTGTTTAAGCCACATAATTCTACGCACAAAATTTTTTGATGACATGTTAGTTCATAGTTTTGCATGAGCATGCAACTTGGCTGTGCAGACGAAAATTTCTTTGTCACAGACAGAAACTGATAAACCTTGCTGAGGAGCAAGCCTTGCAGACAGATATCGCAAAGATCATCGCCATTGTATATGATCCACTGCCTCTACCCCAAAATGACCCCAGAAAGTAACTTTTTATAGTCCGTACCTTGCGAATATAGAGCAAAGTATGCCAACATGGCCCAACTTCTTATCATTTCATTGAAAAATGTCAACGGGGTTGCGCTAAGGCATTATAGAAGGCCTTTAAAGCTGTGCAAGAAATCTAACGCATTCTCCAATTGCAGCTTTTACAACTCCAACTCGGCCATTCCACGTCATCCGTGAAGCTTAGCCTCTACGATTGCGCTTTCCTCAACGATGATGCCAATGGTCGGTCGTGTTTGAGTCTCGCAAAGTGATGCGGCAGAGAAAATCCTTCTCGTTTTTAAAAAGCATTTTTTTAGCAATGAAAGTCACCATCGACGATTTCAGATTGCATCTGAATAGCAAATCTCTCCATATAATGACAATATGATTCATCTTTATCTTTTTGCCATGTGTACCTTTGGGGTAAAGTACAAGTCTGGTCGGTTAATGTGGTGATGGACGCAATTTTGTGTCGTCCAGACAATGAATTGCCGCACATCACGATGGTAACGTCGATTAATACGTCCAGCGTACGGGTTTAGATTCAACATGCGATGCGTTGCTGAAAGATTTGGAAATCAAGGAGGCTGAAAGCTCAGAGGTATCTTTGACGCGCACGTGCTCCGATCTGCTATAGCAATGCTTGCTGAAATACAGTACAGACTCACACATCGCTCAGTATTTTACAGCAACAACCACAAGTTTGACAATCTATACAAGGTACATGGTACGCTTTTAAATGACCATCTTGAACGAGTGAGAGAGATACTGCGCGCTGAGCGCTGTGTATAGGTGCATCAACTTGTCTATTCGGTCATGAACATATGTGTGCGCACGCGTAAAGTGTGTCGATGTAAAAACTCTAGTCGCATTCCCAGACATCTTTGGCCAGCCTGCTAGTTCAGACAAGTTGTTGGCTGTCCATAAGGTAGACTTGTTTCCTGGCCTTTTGAGAAGCGCGCTCAATAATACCGTTATTGCGTTCGAGGTAAACTGCATGAATGAATAATACATATCTCTCAAACCTCCATTTTTCATCAAAAGTTTGGTGAACATTTGAAAACCTTTGGCAACACCACGAAAAGGCTTAGAACTTAGAAGGAGGGGGTTATACTTAAATGATTTTGCTAACTTCTGCTCTATTACACTCTGTAGCAGAATCATTGATTTTATCTTAACGAGCTTTGGTGCCATGAGCCGGATGCACGACGCTATAGTCTATCGTCAGAATATTCAAACGCAACACGACGATGCCAAAGGCAGGCAGAACGCTCGCATATATGCTGTGGAATACATTGATTAATTAAGAGCAAGTTACAATCTAGAAAGATAATGTGATCACATCTTGTGTTCTACCTGTGTATCTGAAGCCATCCATAATCACGCTACTTCAAGCTAATAGATGTGATGAAATCTGTTGCAGATGAAGCAGCGACTCCGCCATCGCTGTAGCTGATTTATCATCTCCTTCAAAGCAGCGACGCAACGTTAAATCGCTTGAGATAAAGCAGAGTAGTGGTGAAGCTTATAGAGAGAGGGCTAAAAGTGTGGCTCATCTCAGTTTGTGACGCGCGTCGAGCTGTGCCATTACAACCCGAGAAAGCTCACGAAAACCTGCCGCGGAAAGTGCGACCTCGATTGCTATGTATATTGAGCAAGCAGTGGTCTATTTCGACGTATAACGTTTGGTAAACCGTCAAGCACTTCAGGACCGCTACCAGTATATTCTAAAATGGGAAAGATACCGTCATTTGGGGCGATCCAGAAATATTGAGGTTCCACCTTGTCAAGAATACCGTGCCACATTAGCTGCTACTGACGGGGTGCACCACAGCCATTATCACAGGCAGGTTGACCTTCGCAGCGAGCTTTTTATTCTTCGGGTAGACTTATCTCGCACTGAAATCGATTTTTGATTGGTATACATTCTAGCTGTTTCTCGGCAACAATTGCGCCGTAATCAGCCGGGACTTCAGGTCAAGCTTTATCACTTTGCGCCGTGCTTCGTAAGCCACAATGCTGAGCACTAAAAATTGGTCCAGACGGACGACGGCTACGCCGACGCTTGCTTGTTAAGGCTGAAGCTCAGTTGGACAGCTGATTTGTATATCCCAGTATGCAAACTAAGTTTGATAATTATAAGCACCCTCGTCAGCTTTGATTATCCTGGTACATCTCTCGTGGGGGCTATGCCCCCCAGACTTGTGCAAAGTTTATAGAAGAATGACGTATGTGCGTGAAAAGCAATAAATATTCATAACTGTGACAATATGTAGCATCACAGTCTCATTCCTACAATTCATTGCGCTTGATTCAATGGAATAGCAAGTAATCTAATTTGATGCATGAGGTGCTACAAATACGTGCGGTAATGTTGTTCGTGCTCGTCAGTTATACTTTACAGTTATATGTGGTGGTAAACACCAAATGTGTTATTCTATATAGCGGATGCGTTATTTACATCTTTCGTGTGAGCAGTGAAGTCCACAACTCTGACGTCTTCCCATCCACTCGTAAACGAGGTAGTAAACTACCAGTTTAAAGAGTTACTGCCACCTTCATGAACACGTGAGTTTCACCCTCTTAGAATACTTGTGACGTCATCCACGCACGGTCAGCGGTGTATCTCAACACGTGTGCCATGCTTAGTCACTGCTAAATATAACCCCGGGATCGACACTATCCGGTATGCCTGCTTTACTCTGCACTCATACTAAGTTGATATTTTGTCTTTCGACATAGGTGTTCACGAGGTGAAATTGCCGCAAAAAATTACGCGCCAATGTGTATGTCCTTAGAACAGAACTGATTGGAAGCACGGACCAGTGTTAAATGAAGTCGGCGCATCAAGTATTCCCAGGCTTGCCCTAACAAGTGTCGTTAATATATTCTGAGCTCGGAGTGCTTGCAAATGTCGTGAGAAAAAGGTTTCAGGTTATCTGACACATTTCATTACACACGTTTCACTGAATGAACGTCGTCGTGATGTAGGCAGAACCGATGGTTAAGTATTATATCACTTTTAGAAAGATCATGGAAAGAAAAAAATTGTTCAGAATGTATTTCTTAGTGAAGTGCTGGGCTCGACAAGGCTCAAAACGGAATGAGCATATCATCATGAACGCTCGTGTTTCACGTAAGCAAACTGATTGTTTAACCAAAGCAAACGTATAGCATTGCTTTTTCCAGATCAAATTTACTTGATCATAGCTTAGCAAATCGCCGCATGATTGACACCCTGTGCTTTTTTTGTGAACAATTGATGAAGGAAAGATGATATATTGGTAGATTTAACCAAATGAGGCAGAAAAGTCAAATGATCTTCTATTCAACATCAGAATGTACACCTACTTCAGGCACGATGATTTCCTCGTCCGCTGTAACGCAATTCGCAAAGCAGTGGGCTCGCATGTTGCCCTTGAATGTTCCGACAATGTTGAAGGCTAAATCTGCACACCGTCGACTGCTTGGAGTCCACACCTTGCAACTGCAACAGTGCCTTTATTGTTGAGCAAATTTCGGTGCAATATTTGAGGCGAAGCTCATACCCACTCTTGGGCCCAGCAGCGCGCTAATTCATTTATTTAGTGATTACTTTGGCAAGGTGGGGACTTTGTGGTGGTCGCGTCTTGGATCTACTTCTTTCAGTTTGTCGACTATCAGTAGCTTCAAATTTTCAAATTCATGTGCTTGCATTCGGTACCATTAAGACTCAGCTTTGCTACTCCTTTTTCTAGGAGTATTACATATGGAGATCCAACCCTGGAACGGGACAACTTGTTGCACGCACTCTTGCGCTGAGGTGGCGTTACCTTGAGGCATAATCTTCTCGCGTAGCTGTCGTGCGCGCCCCTATAACCACAATCTTGTGTGGCTGGCTCTCTTGATCATGAATATACTATAAGTGGTAGTGATGGGGACGTAAACCGAGTTGACGTTATTTGGCATTCTTCCCGTTCCCGT